AACTTTGGAATCAGTTTGGAGGGAGTTACTAGTGTGAGAGTTTGTAACTAATAAGCCTATTAGAAAGGGTTCCTTTTGCAGCATAGGGTTACAGTAACTATCCCTTTAGCTGTAGATTTACACCAAAGCTAGTTTTTGTCCTCAAAGTTATAAAGAGAAGGAAAGAGATGTGCTGAAGGAACCAAACATTCACCTTGCCAAGTCTTTACTATTCTGTTCCAATTGTGCCCAGATTCAATTTCATCATTTAATCTTCAAGCACATAATTGGCTCACAGGCTGCAGATAAAATATTAAATGAAAGGTTGTACAAGTGGCCCATTTCTAAACACTCGGCCCATCTTACAATTTTGCAAGAGTGACAAGCATTTTCTATAGACAGACCTGCATTTATCTCCCCCTATTCCAGCACACAATATCACACCATTTTGAAAACCAAAAATTTAATAAAAATAGGAATTAAATTAGAGAGAGTGAGAGACAGAGAGCACTCAGAAACTGCAGAAAAGGAAGCTAACAGGCACTTCTTAAGGGACTAAAAATGATGTTTTTTTGGTTCCCTCGGGGTGAAATGCTTTACTGTATCACAATGAACTCCACTTATGCTATCATTTTTACGTTTGCTTATCACTTTATCCACATTTTTTGTATAATGCAAAAGCAGGAGAATACACTCAAAAGCTAACACATCAGCACATTAAAGAGGGTTGTCATGGTTTGCGTCAAGTGCAATTTCAAAAACTTCTATAGCACTGCCCCCAGCTTTGCCACTTCGTTCTAATCAAAGCTGGAATGTGGGCAACTTCCTTCAGTCCAACATCTTCAAAACACCAAAGAGTTAAGAATATGATTATATCTTTCCTTTCATCCTAGATCATCTCCTCAGCCAAGGAGGACCTCAGCATCAGGATATCTCTGCCTCCTCCATCAGTCTCAGTAATTTCTTTTGGCCTTCTGTTCTGCAACCAACACCCTCCCACACAGCTACAAATACTGTTTGTGCACTGACTGGAAAACAAGAATTAAAAAGGTGAAGCGTCTTGGAAACTTCTGTAAGGATCACAGCAGAGGTAAACTAGGCCACTATCAGGCGCAACTCTTCTCAGAAAAAAAAAGGAGAACTAGCACAGAGTATTTATACAGCCTACCCCTCAAAGGGGGAAAAAGCAATTGCAAGGTTATGAGATGCTGAGGCTGGTTCCATAGCTGTGTATGGACTGAGGCTAGATGAATATTGGGTTTGCACACTCCTCCTCCTTCTCTGGCACAAATGCAAGAAGGGGTGGGAAAGTCTTTGCTCCCATTTTTAAAAAATTAATTTATATATCTGTCTTATGGTCTTCATAATCAAAGAAGGATGCTTTATAAGGCAGTGTCCCATGTTCCTTGATTATTCAGGAATTCCCAGCTTTGGTTTTTCTTCTTCAGTCCCAAATTATTCTCTGCTGCTAGAAAAATTCCCTGAAACGTCTGTAACCCGAGGTACCACTGTATTAACAAGTGACTTCTAGGTTGCCTGCTGATAAACTTGGGCTAGCCAACCTGGGGTCATTGAATTGTTGGATGCCAAGCCACCATCAGCCCTAGATAGCAAGGACAATGGTCAAGGATGATGCAAGTTATAGTTCTGCAACATTTGGAGGGCACCCCATTGGCTACCCTTGCCACAGAAGTGGCCTCATGTGAAACTGACTAGTATATAAATTTCAGGTCACTTCCAGCCCTTTGGCAATACCTTTCATAGATGCAGACACTGTCTTCCCATTTTGGAATGAAAAGAGAATAGGTGATGTGATTGAGCAAGTGTATTTAATTTTCACATCTCCATGTGGGGAAATTTTCACCTACATATACCCCTTATATAGTACATACATTTTGTTCCAAGAGTCTATATTTGTAATTTTCAAGTTTGCAGTATTATTCAGTTTATTTCTTCTTCTTTTTAAAGGCTTCAGTCATTTGATAGATCTGCACCTGTGCTCTGATAAAAAGAATCAGAAATCTAATTTCCAATCCCAGCTACTCTAAATTGTATGATTGGTCTGACGCAGAGATAGACCGCAAGCTTTACAAACACCGCAAGTCAATAGAAAGCCTTCAACGGTACACAAAACATTAAATTTTGAACAGCGCTGAAGAAATGGATTGGTTCTGATCACAGCGGAGAATGCCTTTTTGGACAGCTCTTGAAATGACTGCCTAGCTTAGACTCGTACTTGCTGTCATTTCAAGTGACAGTTAACGTTACCGGCATTCAGGACACAAATACATATTTGACAATTATGCCATCACGGTTAAGTGGTTTGGATGTTATTGTAAACATCTGAAAAAGCTATGCGGAGCATAGGTCATGATTGCTAGTGCTCTGTGCTGACAGGAATCCATCTCAAAAGATTTATTACACATGTAATTATGCGCAATTATATGGCACACGGAACTAGAGATGAAACAACGCTGCAAACAGAAAACTCGACCACATCTAACCCCCTGGGATGTGATACTGGTTTGGGTTTCAGGAACATGGCAGCAGCTTAATGTCTGCACTTCAGATAATTGCACACTCAAGCACAGATGTGAAGCCACTATCTTCTGCTGTGTCAACCAATGCTCAGGTTTTGGAACGCCTGACTTCATTCATTTTGCAAAGTAGGGAGAAACAGAGCTCAACCGTGATACCTAGCATGTCTGGGGTTTTTTAAAGGATCTCAGTTAGCAGCGCTGGTCTCTGCCCAAGACCTTGCAGAGTTGATGCCAATCTGGATAGACAATGCTAGACTAGATGGACTAATGGTCTGATTCAGCATAAGATAGTGCTGTATGTTTATCTTCTTGTCTTTTGCTATTTGGCTTTGTGGTGCTGTGATGGGCCACCATGTCCTTCCAACCTGGAGATTCGTCCTTAAAAGGAAGCAAGATAAAGGTGTAGAGCAGGGATGGGTAATCTAGGGCCCTAAAACCACATAACAGTCTAAACCTACTTGTCCTATTTTCACATGGGTGGAAAGAAGCAGGGAAATGGGGGAGGTCAGATAGATTAGAAAAGCTACTTTTAACTCTGGCCTCACCCACCCCTAATATTCAGCTCCCATGAACTTACTCCCAAGAGAATATAGCCCTTGAGAGGAGGAGGAGGAGGAGGAGGAGGAGGAGGAGGAGGAGGAGGAGAAGTTGTTGTCCACCCCTGAAGTGAACTATTTTCTGCCTTTCTTTTAGACCACAGACAATGTGTGTGGCGGGAGGGGATAAGGTATTGAGTGTCCAACAGCCACCAGCACTCTCCCTCCCTCCAAGCAACTTATCTATTTTGTGAAAGCCTCCATGGTGCTCTGGAACTCAACTTGTGTGACTCTGCCCCTTCAATTGACAATCACGTCCTGGAACCAGACACTGTGGATATAGCTGTGCATGGCTAGGAGAGCTAGTGAATGGATACATGGACTAGCAACTCTGCTCACATCATGTTCAGCTATTCTCCATCTGAGGTCAGGGAGAGCTTTCTTGGCTGTGATCCTGTTTACAGAAAGCTCTCCCCAGGAAAGGCTCAGGGTCAAACTACATGTTACACCTAATGGCAGCCACAGCTTCATTTTTATTTACTTAATTACAAGCACAGGGTGGAACCATTTTTATTTAGACCACAACATGTAGAGAGAATTCCCTCTCCCTCCATCCGCCTCCCTCCATCAGCCCTTGAAAAAAAAATCCATCTCAGTGCAACTGTTAGTATAAAAGAAATGATAAGAATGAAATTGTGATTTAGATGGAATTGTTGTACCTTGCCCTGAAATTGATGTGATATAGGAGGGTGGTCCAACACGCAGCCTGAGGGACATATACAGCCCTCCCTGCCCACAACTGAGAGAGCCTGGACCATGCTCCTGCTTGCACATGAGTAAGAGCGGGATCACGGCTGCTCAGCTGGTGAGCACAATAAGACATGCCATATCAATAAATTATCCCATCCTAAGACAGTGAACTGTCCTAACAATTCATATTAAAGCCTAGCAATAATAATAAAAAATACCAGCACAGTTTTTTATATGCTAGGAGGAAACTGATTCTCCAAGTGCCTCTTCTTGTGTAGCCGAAACATTGCTATCCAGGCACAAGAGGAGATGGAACAGCAGGCTCTGGGTAAATTGCAGTCCTACAGACAGACTATGGAGGGATCTAAGAGAGGGACCCCCAAAACAGCCCAATGAGGACTGAGCATGCTCAGTGGCTCCAGAATACTGATTGAGTTGGAGAAAAATGAAACCAGACAGACTGAACAGAGGACATTATAAAAGAGCACGGCTGGCTGGAAGTATGGGCACTGAAATGTGTTGCAAGTCACATTGCTACAAAATAAGAGCAAAATAATAGGTCAACCCAAACTAAACAATATGACAATAATAGGAAGTAAAATATAAAGCCTGTAAAATCGGAATAGGATTTCCCTAAGCCATGTTTCCACAGTTGGCCTAGCTGTACTCGTTTTAGGACTGCAGTAGCTTCATTCTTCTTACCCCTAGTTCAATGAGGTCAGCCTTGAGAAGTTATGGGGCTGGGCAGCGGAAGGGATACAATGGTAGATGTTCCATGTGTACATTTGCAAGGTTTCAACATTTAACATTAGAATGTCGTGTTGAAGGTTAAGGCAGAGCCCCTCCCTAGGGTCTCTTGTGCTTAATTAACCTTGCAAATCTCATCTCAGGCTCTTTGTAAAAAACAGAATTATTTATTTATTTTGGAACAACGCTGACCTTCATTCTCCTACATAGCACATGAACACACAAATGCAGTGCTGTGACTTTACAATTGATTCAATGTCGCAGCTGAAACCCTAATCGCACGGGAGAAATGCCCCCATTACTAGTATTATTACTATTTCTTCAGACATTTCAAAATATGCTCTCCAATGATTGGCTGGTGCTCCTGATTCCAGAAGAAGAAAATCATTCATCAGACATTTTTTGCTCAGCTGCAAAGTTTTAAGGCTTCGTCTGGCACATGTCTGCAGCATTGGTGGTTCAGCGGTAGAATTTTTGCCTGACATGTGGGATGCCCAGGTTTGATTCCCATCCAATGCAGCAACATGTCTTTGGTCTACTGGAACAGCTCAATTGGTTAGAGCAAGGTGCTGACAATGCCAAGGTTGCAGGTTCAATCTCCATAAGGGGCAGCTGCATATTCCTGCATTGCAGGGGGTTGGACTAGATGATCCTCAGGATCCCTTCCAACTCTATGATATGACAGGGCGGCTATAGGGTCAACTTAATAGAGGACACTCCTGCATTTGAAGGGCTGTCAGTCTACATCTTGTTTAAAGGCAAAGGGTCTTAGCCAACCAACTTCTACTCAGAGTAGACACACTGAAATTAATGGGTCTAAACTAGCCATGTCTATTAATTTCAATGGATCTACTTTGAGTAGGACCAGCATTGGCTACAACCCAAAGAACTCTAAGACACATAAGCAGGGGCCTTGAATTAAGTCAACATTTGGCACCAGAACAGTAGACTTAGCTGGTATACAGATCACCTAGTAACAGTCTTCATGACTAAGATAAGATGGATTGTATTTTTATTTTCCTATAGCAATTACGTCTAATTTGGATTTGTAAATTGTCAAATGCATTTTTTTAAAAAAAGAAATGTAAATTTGAACCTTCAATCCTCTTTTTCTAATGCGTAACAGGTAAACAAGCCACCTTGCACTTTAGGAATGGACAAAATCCAGACAAGGAAGGACAAAATCGAGGGCTTTTCCTTCACCCCCATCTGCCTAATGTGGTGAACTGGTTGGACTGTAGGTTTGTTCAAGGTGCTACAGGCATTGTACCCTGGTTCCCGTGAACTAACCACATGAAAAAGGGTTCAAATTCTGTGTTGAATTGACCAACTCCAGTCAAACAAATAGCCATCAGCACAGGCCTGTCTGAAGCTCAACCTTGCTGGAAAGCATAATCCGCATCAAGAAAATCTCAGCCTAATGAATTCAAGCAGTGTCTATTCATTTGAAGTGTTGTATTTTGTACCACCCATACCTGCAGTTAAGCACATATTGCACATATCCTGCCATCAGCAGAACAAGTGGCATCGCTGGCGTGTTGACCTGGAAAATGATCTAGTGAAGATTCTCTATCAGCTCAAGAGAACATCCTGATGAAATATTCATTGCACTTAGTAATTTGCAAATCCTCAAATGTGTGTTGGACAAGTTATAGCAAAAATGTTCAGGGACAGAAGACATGGCACAGAAATGTCACAGATCCGTTACCAACTTCAGCCACCCTATATTTTGTACTTGCGTTCATGTATTGCTCAGCCCAGCAGGAAGTGTCTTGGGTCCACCCTGAAAACACACGATGCAGGTCGTATACGGTAGTCACATTTATACCCTAAATCAGGGGATGGGGAACTGGTGATCGTTGCTGGAATCCAACTCCCACCATTCCTGACCATTGGCCATGTTGGCCGATGGGGCTGATGGGAGCTGTCATCCAAGAACTGCTGGACAGCCTGCTAGTCATTCCAGATGGTATTTCACCATAATCTATAGGAGGAGGATTATTTCTGCTTGTAGAGTTTCTGGAAATCTTTCTGGTTTTCATTCTATATTCACTGGGTGCAGTTCAAGAGAAGTCCACATCACCACTGAGTCCTATCCACGCTACATATATTGTTCCTTTTTAGAGGGCTGCAGGATTAACGCCAGGTTATCTTTGCAATGCAGCGGGATCCTGCAACAGATTCCACCGCCCCCATTAACTGTCAGAAACACCGCACTGGGCCCAACATGGTACCTTTCCACAGTCTAAGCCAGCCTTTCCCAAACTGGTGCCCCTCCAGATGTTTTGGGTGGCAGCTTTGCTTCCTAGGGCCTGGTGGGAGCTGTAGTCCAAAAACATCTGGAGAGAATCAGGTTGGAGAAGGGTGATCTAAAGAGCATCTTTAGAGGGAAAGATGAGGAAACAGACTGGAAGAACGAAAGAGACACAATGCCAACATGCCATGCCTAAGGAAAAATGTCAAGACTACTTCAACAACAACAAAAAATTGATGAAGTTACACCATCAATATATAGAGTTGTCTCTCTCTGTGGTGGTTTCTACAGAAACACAGCAGACTTTAATGTGCACACTGTTATGTGGGTGCTTTCTTCCCCAGCTGTTTTTTCTTCTTCAAGATATGCTCTGATACTTATAAATTGACACTAGGTGGTGATGTAGTGCTATTCTCATAAGAAATATTAGCTCAAAGAAGAAACAGGGAAAGTTCTTATATTTAAAAAAGGGTTGCTATTCTTCACCCCACCTCTGCCTCTTTAGTACAGATAACAAACTTATTTAGTTGAGTAACAGGACTGCACCCATTTTATGCCAGTTGACAGAGCCTACTAAGCCTACTAAGGGAAATATCATGTGATTCTGTCTGGGCACACTGAATGGTGCTGAACAAGACTCAAGGATGGGAAGCGACTTCACAGAGGAAGGCACATCACTGTGAAATATTTGAGGCCCTTCTTCTCGACCTGACATTCAAACCCATATGAGGGTCATGAAGGCATGACTGATTCAAGTGGCATGATACTGCTTCAATTGTACAGTGTGGATGAGATCTTGATCTTGCAGATAGAAAACTGCCATCTGAAAGCCAGTATGTTGCATCTCTCCAGAACATTAAAATTCCAGTTTTCAGTTTCAGTTCGTAACTGAACAGTTCATAACATAACAATTGGCTTACTTGAAAACTGTCCTTTCTTGCACACATAGATTTATACTTCATCTGAAGCAAGCATGTGGGTAAGAACAAGAGAAGCAAGAACCTCATAGCGATGTGGGAAAGCGGCGGCTTCTGTTGCTGACAGATATCACCTTATATTTGTAAGGTAGGGAAGAAGTCTGCTGTCAAACATGCAAATTGTCTCACAAAGAAGTGCTTTCCCCAGAGGGCACAGTAAGAAAGCAGTAATTGGGAGTACCGCAAGTTTTGTTTCCTGCTAATATTAAAAAGAAAAAAGAAATCACAAAGCAACAGCAAATCCAGTCTCTGGTGAAGCTACTGTTAGGGGAGTCAAATGCAATGCAATCAAAGGATTTCCATTAGCTTTAGAATGTGCCAAACTCCTCAGAAGATCAACACAGAGATGCACTCCACAAAAAACCAGAAACAGTCTAGAGTAATCGCTGCTAGTTTCAAGACCAAAGAGCCCAGGCACAAGGCAATCTCCTCACATGAAGTGCAGCTGAAAATAGCTATGTGTTGCCCCAAACCTGCAACATAGTTACGTAAATGCATGTGTAAAGGTAAAGGTAAAGGACCCCTGACAGTTAAGTCCAGTTGCAAATGACTCTGGGGTTGCGGCACTCATCTCGCTTTACTGGCTGAGGGAACCGACGTTTGTCCACAGACAGTTTTTCCAGGTCATGTGGCCAGCATGACTAAGCCGCTTCTGGCAAAACCAGAGCAGCGAATGGAAACATCATCATCATCATCATCCCTTTATTGTCAATGTACAATGAAATCAACCAAGCCTCCCTCCCCCACAAACACTCAATCTCATTGCACTCTGTGTGCTTGTCGCACAACACACCAACCCAAAAAGTCAGCTGCACTATATTATTTTCCGTTCAGCAGCCTAACAACCCACAGACAGAAACTGTTTGTTAGCCTGTTGGTATGACTGATTATACTTCTGTATCTCCTGCCTGAGGGTAGAAGATTAAAGATTTGCTGACTGGGGTGTGAATCGTCGTTTACCTTCCCGCCAGAGCGGTACCCATTTATCTACTTGCACTTTGACGTGCTTTCGAACTGCTAGGTTGGCAGGAGCTGGGACAGAGCAACAGGAGCTCACCCCATCACAGGGATTCGAATTGCCGACCTTCCGATCGGCAAGCCCTAGGCTCTGTGGTTTAACCCACAGCGCCACCAGCGTCCCAATGCATGTGTAGGAGACCAATATAGATTCCACTGCCAAAAGGAAACAAGGGAGCACCACTGGGACCTGCAACGAAATGTTGCAGTGTGAAGTGCTCTTATTTAGTGTTCCAGTCAGCCAGCATACCATGCCCACTGAATATACACAGTCCTCATATTTGAGGCTCTTTCCTCTCTCCTCCAACAAATAAAGGTTTTCTGTGCCTGTTGAGATTCTCCCAACCTTCTAAGACCAATCTTTCCTGTGTGGGTGAAACCATTTTGGCTGTGAGTAATGGCACTCACAGCCTGAACATTGGAAATAGAGGGAGTGACTGTAAACCAAATTCTCAGCTCATATGGGAAAGCCCTGCCTCAAATATTGTGGCCTGAGTGCCTCTTCTGGGCACATTCACAATGAAGTTAGTCTGATACTACAGTGATACCTCAGGTTAAGAACTTAATTCGTTCTGGAGGTCCGTTCTTAACCTGAAACTGTTCTTAACCTGAGGTACCACTTTAGCTAATGAGGCCTCCTGCTGCCGCCGCACTATTTCTGTTCTCATCCTGAAGCAAAGTTCTTAACTCAATGTACTATTTCTGGGTTAGCGGAGTCTGTAACCTGAAGCATCTGTAACCCAAGGTACCACTGTATTGTGTTATCCAGCACAGGCCATAGAAAAACAAGCCCCATCTGCACTCTACAGTTAAAGCAGTATCGTGCCACTTCAAACAAGCATGGCTTCCCCCAAAGAACCCTGGGAAGTGTAGTTTGCTATGGGTGCTGAGAGTGGCAAGAAGATGCCTATTCCCATCACAGGGGACTTTCCTGGGAAAGAGGCGGTGATCGTTAAACCACTCTGGAAACTGTCTCTCTGTGAGAGGAACTGTGGTCTACTATCCAAATTCTCAAGGGCCAAGAACTTGTGTGACCTCTGGTTCCTAAAAGGTTTGCAGAGCAAAGCGTAGGCAGGCAGCTCTTCCTCTTTTGCAGCAGAGGCTGCTCTCTGACCACACAGTGCTTCTGGTTTAGCTAGGAGGTGGGTGATAAACCTGCGGACTACAGCCGAGGAGCAGAACTGGCTCCCACCCCATTTCCAGTCACACACACTCTGCCAGCCACAGATTCCCCACTTCTGAAGGCAAAGTCTCTCACACTCAAGTCAGAA